AACGGGATTCACTCCGCCAGAAACTTGAAAATGGCATGCTGTACTGTTTACCATTCATGCCGTTAGTTCGAATACGGACATTTCAGTGTTTGGGTATCAACCAGAGGAGAATGCAGATGATTCGGAAAGAGTTAGATGAGTCTAATGGTGATTTCGAAAGTGTTTGGAGTAATCACTAGTAATAACAACATTGTCAAAACTGAGGCCTACATCAAGTGCCTTGAGGAGTTAGGAGTGCCCTGATTCAAGAGGCTGGCTGCTGGAAGACTCCACAGGACTCTGTATCTTACCACATAAGCTGGAGAAGCTAGATATGGTTGTCAGACCACATCAACCTTTATATCTGGCGACTTAACTCTTCAGACTGCAAGCCCCTTGATTCTTATGTGTGGGGCTCAGTTGAGCGAGATACCAATAAAACTCCTTGTAACACGAAAGGTGAACTGAAGGCAAGGATTATAGCAGCATTCACCAACATAAACAAGGAAAGAATGCAGAAGAGTTGCAGGAGGCCTTGGTTGAAGCTAATGACGGTTTTACTGAATAAATTTACTCTTTTTTTTTATATATATATATATATATATATATATATATATATATATATATATATATATATATATATATGATTGAAATAAAAGTGTAAAATTTAATATTACAAGACATATTAAAACAGAGAAGGTACAATCAGAATAGGTGGGAAAAAATACAGATATGTATATATATACCTGTATATATGCAAGAAGGAACTAGAGGCAGATGACAGGAGGCGCTTTACATCGGGTCCCGCAAGCCTTCTTTGTGCAAACAACGTTAGTGTTTGCTGGGACTCGCTGGTAAATATATCTGTTAAAAATGAGATTTCAGTGTTATTTTCATTTTTGCGTAATTTAGACAAATTATCCATCGCTTTCCTTGTACGGATATAATGAAAAAAACAAAACGTAATAGTTTTATTTTTGGCAAACAGCAAAAAACTGATGTATTTACAACCTTGGTGATTATAGACATTACAAAATTGCCCGTGTTACATGTTAAGATTTTGTACTTGCTGGGTTTTTATACTAGGCTAGTCTAGTTACTAAATGGAAACCAAGTGACAGCAGGTATCACCAATAATTTATTGTTATCCGTCTCCTCAATATGAAATACTAGCAAGAGAACTGTTATAGGACATTAGTGTATTTTATATCACTGGCGATGGGTTGAATTTTACGCGTTGGGTTTTCATACTGATAGTATCTATTGATTCTTGATAGGGAACAAGTGACACCAAGTGCAAACAGTTTTCCAATATTATTATTCTCTTCAATGTGAAATAATATAATATAAATTGCAATAAAAATAATATATCTATATTTTAATAGGAGGTAAGCTTTTGAAACAGAATCTGGAAAATATATATTTTATGTCACCCTAATTTAAGAGTGGACAGGCTTTTAGCTAACACGTTTTTCTTATATAAGTATAAAGTAAAAGAAAATGTGCGTGTGAGAGAAAGAGTTAGAGAGAGAGAGAGAGAGTATGTGTTGGGGGAAGGGGGAGAGAGACAGAGAAGAAGAAGGAAACAGAAAAAGAGAACTATTTACTGATAGTTTTTTCTTTCTGTCTTCTTTTTCTCACGTAAACGTCTGTATATTTTATTTTATATGTTGACTGCGGTTAGCTTGACCCACGAAGTTGATCTCCGTTAGTGGCATATCAACATCTATGGGTCATTTAATGCTGAAATCTAACCATTTTGAACCCAGTTTTATGGCTTCAACTACAGTAATTCCTCCCTACCTGGGTAAGACAATAAACTACATCCAACAGCAAGGCCTCTGGTCAGGATGTTTTCAGAAGCGTAGAACCACCTCTTAATTGCTGGTTTTCCCAGGTACACCCTGACCCGGCGTGGTAATATTTGTTAAGGCCTCAGCTATGGGAGACCAGGTAGGCTAAAAAACACTATGAAAGTATAAAAATAGGCTTTACCAGAAATACATTTTTTTAAATATTACCAACAATAAATATCATATCGGCATTATATAACACACTGAGGTTGACATACCATAAAACAAACCAAACCACACGTAATTTTACTATAAAATGTATTGCTGGTCATTTTGCTATAAATATATACAGTGTAACCCGGATATAAGAGAGTTGTCGGGACCGGAGAAGTCTCTTATATCCGGGTTTCTCTTATATCTGGGTTTGGTCTATTTTATATACATTAACGCAGGCTCTAATTTGGGACCAGAGAAAATATCTCTTATATCCGGGTCTCTTATATCCGGGTCTCTTATATCCGGGTTTCTCTTATATCCGGGTTTCTCTTATATCCGGGTTTCTCTTATATCCGGGTCTCTTATATCCGGGTTACACTGTATTGTTATTAATTTTACTATAGAAAATGTAATTTTATACTTTCCTAGTGTTTTTTTTTTTGTTCGTTGGTTCACTATTTACCCAGAGCTGGGACCCTAACCGGTGCTAAAACCCTGGGTCAGGGTAGACCTAAAACAACAGCAATTAAGAGGCAGTTCAGCGTTACTTAATACCTCCAAATCTGTTGATCAGAGGCCGTGTTGTCGAATATAGAAAATGCCGTGGGTCAGAATCCACCAGTATTTTGTGATAGTTTTATTTGGATCAATTCAGAAATTTTAATTTGTCTACCGTATTCTAGCAATTTCCTTCATTGCGAACGTTTTGCAAACATCTCGCTTTGATAAAATGTTTGGTAAAATGTCACTGTTGAAATAGTTTTCATTATGAAAGCACCAAGGAAATCGTATATAGTTGCCTCCATACTGACTAGGGTTTTTCTTTCTTTCTTTCTTTCTCTCATTCATTCATTCTTTCTTTCTTTCTTTTTTTCTTTCTATGGCTCATTATTTTTCTTTGATTTTGATCCGACTTTCTTCGTTGGCTTTTATTGATTATGTCGCTCTTTTCCTTTCTCTTAGTTGTCATTTCTTTGATTTCTTCTTTCACTGAATTTATATTCCAGTGATGTTTCCTTTCTTTCTTTCTTTCTTTCTTTCTTTCTTTCTTTCTTTCTTACGTTAGTTCCTTAATTGTCCTTTTCTTTTTCCTTCGTACAATCTCTCTATCGCTTTACTCTAATGAATCATTCTTTCTGTTTTCATTTTGATTCTTTCTATCTTGACTTCAACACACGACATTCCTGATTTAATTACACATTCCTTTCGACGTTTATGAAGATTCACCGAGACAGATCCAAGCATTCCACTAATTATAAATGCAAATATCAATTTCCTCTTTTTGTTTTCATGCACCAGGGGATAACCTTTCCTACCCAAACATATATGCTTTTTGGGTGTCTTAAGAATTAATTTTCTGTTATCTCAACCTTTCTCTGTACAGTCGAAATTACCCTTTTTTTTCGGATTTTATGTAATTCTTTCTAATACGTTGGTTATGGAATTTTTCTTTAGTTTGTGGTGTATTTCCTTCCTTATGTGCACTGGGCGCAACCATGCCTAGGTTATTTGATTTTTTTTAATTATACGTTTTCAAAAAAAGTAACATATATTGAATTCATCTGGAAATATAGAGAGCGCAAGTCTACATACAACTCGAGTTTTTTAGCAGTTTTTTTAAAAATGGCTTTACGCTGTTTTATAGTCCTGCTTTCTTCTGTTTTCTAAAACCAGGAAAACCTACTTCTCATAGGACTTATTGAGGGGTGGTGTGTTACAGGGAATCATAGAGCAACTTGCTTAATGAATTTGTGTCTATGAAAGGCAAGAGTGCTGAAAAATAGCATGCATTTCTTAGAGCTACAAGAAACATGGAATTATGGAATAACATGATCGCCCACACCCTGAAAAGAAATAATCTGCTTTCAGTAAGCCATCCGGGAATATAATAAATAAATTTCAGTATCTTCTACCAATTGTTCCAATGAATAGAATTTAAGATAATCCTTTGCAAATCAGAAACAATGGTCGTCAGAGTACCCCACAAAATGGGAAATCTTAGATTTATTATTATGAAAAGAAAGAAGGAAAGAAACTAATATATACAAAATGATTAACTATATATTCTATCTGAATGCACTAAAAAATTATTAACATAATTTTTTTAACCATTTATTGTTCCATACTTCCGGAATTATCAAACATTCAATGCGAAGTCATTGTTCTCGTTAAACTTCCAAATTGGTGACGGAAAAATGCCAGGAAATGTTTTTACCGTTCTTTAGTTACAACATCACATCTAACACTGATGCTCAAGACTACGATTCACAAAAAGAAACAAAGGAAACTCTCAATATTATTTGGAAGAGCGATGGCAGTTACCGGAGTTTAGAAACATATTTTCCTGAAAACTCTTTCAATAGAAAGAGTTTATAAATTTCAACTGAAACTCGCACTGGCTACTCGTTAAATGAATTCCAATTGTTGTGTCATAAAGAAAAAGGCTAACACTACCGTTATTCATAAATTGGCTTGCGATGTGGTAAGGAATACTTTAATCACCAGTGTCCATTTCTTTACATCTCTACTTGTATATACGCAGTGCATAGTTCAGGATGTGATTAAATACTTCGGGAGCCTGAATTTCCTCTTATTGTACTCCTAAAATGTCTAAAATATTTCCCTAATCGGAGTTTTCATTAAAGACGTACGACTTGAACGATTTATATAGTTCTTCTATCAGATCTAGACATTCAGTTGAGTCAGAGCTTGGGAAGCGGATTCTAATAGATGAGAAAAAGGAAGCCTTTTTGTGACACCCCCATTGAAGACTGGAGTCGTGATTTACAAATCTAGGTTACGGTCCATTATATAAGACTCTGGTTTAGATTGTATGCTGTCAACATAGGTCATTTCACTTCCAGTTAATGCAGCAAGCATAAAATTGATGTTGATAATTGATAAAAATAAAGTAAAAAGCACGATTTGATTATTTAACTGAATGGAAAAGTAACTGCATAGAAAAATCTCCGTTTTTCTTTAGTTTTTTCTTTAGCCTCGATTTAGCTAACA